CAATTTTAAGCCGATACACATTTTTTATCATATTAAAATTAGTAGTTTTATAGACATAAATTGTATATACCTATTAATTTTATAATGTTATAATGCAATTGACAATTTATGAAATAGTTGAAAAAATGAATCGTTCTGCTAGCGTAGCGAGTGGCTTTGTAAAGCATGTTTTGTCAAAAGGGCCTATATAAAATTTCAGCCCCGGGGCCCAATAGGTGCTTAATCCGGCCTAGGTTGTATCTAAGTTTGTAACGAGATGATGTTGAAGAATAAAAACTAAAAAAAAACCCTATTCGAGGTAAAACTCTTTCTTATTAAAACTAAATAAGTAAAGAATAGCACACTGCACACATACGTTCTAAAGTTCTGGTTTGATTACACTTGATTCATGAGTGCAAAACTAAAAACTACTAATGATAAATAAATCTTACATTCAAAACAATTTATAAAATCAACAAAAAGTTTAACAACCGTCGTAAAGATAGTACAGCTGTACGAATAGACGTAATGAAATAATCGTACACTTAAGATATTTCCTATAAAATTTACAATCCTTAACCTTAGCTTTTATCGAAAAGATATATGTTTAAAACGATGCGTGTAAGTTGTCTGTTGTTTTTAAAATTAAACTAATAAACCATACGGCTGTAAGACGCATTTTTATTTTTTCCGCTTGAAATGTTTTCACAGTTGCAGCATTCTTACTGTGACACAATCCAATTACCAAAATTACTGCGAACATTACCGAATCATTAATTTATGTATGTTTTTTTTTTTTTTCGTTTCCATGCAGCTCGTGGAGTTTGTAAAAATCAAATGATTATAACAATATTAACGTACGAATATGTGCGTGCGAGAGAAAGAATTACGGTTTAGTCGCTGAGGTCACGTAAAATCATTATTATTTCATTTAATTTTTTCTTTCACGATACTTATATAACTAGTGGCAGTAGTTGGATGAACATTTAGAAAACACTGCTTTGTTAGTGTGCGTATGTGTGTGCACGTTTGCTTATTCGCGGACAAACAAGTATGGGATGCCGTGTTTTCGCTCGTTGTGCCAAGGGGACCAATATTTCGAACGAGTATTAACTGAACCCGTGTAGTAACAAATTGATGGAATATATTTGTTGAGTTGACAACGTTTGTGTTTATTTTTATTTTTCCTCTTCTTACCCTTTTTCGGACCGATATATTAAAACGACTACGTACATGGTACAAGTACCTTTATATCTAACTAATTGGTACCACGTATACACCACTACACGGCGATCTATTGAACTCTTGGACATACAAATTCTAACATATTATACTGACCATCGGTAATAACCCTTATATTTTATCTTCAGATCCGGTTCAGTGCTATAGTATTTTTTAGCTAATTATTTCCATTATATTCATATTCTTCATAGATTCCAAATGTATAATTATATAATTTTATTTTTCCATATTTTGTTCACGTTCACTTAGTGCCGTATATTTTCATATTATTTTAGCTATAATGACTTTGCAAAAATAATGTGTTTTTTGTTTGCGCAATATATTACCCACTTTTAGTTATTGTTAAATATGCATTTATTTAGGTATATATCGTAACTTAAATAAGTTGTACATCACAAATATTAAACAATGTACTCAACTCCATAATTAAATCCCATGTTTTCTAAATTCTTGCCTACCTCTCACCCCTAACACAAAATGTATAGCTTAATTTTTATTATCAGCTAATCAAGTACAGTTAAAAATAATAACTGTACACTAATAACGATTTATACTTATAAATATATATATATATATATATATATATCTAAAAAAAATATCATTTAGAATTTTCTACAGTAGAATATTTGCATAGAATATACATAAATGGTTAGTGAATTGTAGTTGACTGCTTTCTGTTAATGGAATAAAATCTGACTTGATGTACTTCAGAGTTAGCCTAAAAAATATTGAGAAAGAGAAACCTTTGCACATATTTTTATTGATTTCTAGATTTTTTCAAAAAGTTATTGAACCACATCAAAATATTTTTCGACTAGATAAATTACAAAATAAATCAAAGCTAGTAATGCACTTCTTTTATAAGTTTATGTTACATAGTTTTTTTTATAGAGCCAATACAACTCGTATACTAAAAATGTAAGCAACTAAATAACCCTTGGCTTAGCTAGATGACTTTTTGATTTCGATTTTTACTGTTTTCTTTTACTCTTTTTTTTTATCACTGTTCAATTGAAATCCCAAGGGTCACCAATTATGAACTTATTATTTAAAATGATTAACAGCGGTTAAATATGCTTTCACAAACATAATGATAATATAAATTTATCATTTGGAATTTCATAACGCGAAGAATAATGGTCTTCTTCTCAATAATTTACCGGTCGAACATCTTTAACCGCGCTATTATAATTGAAATAGCTTATCAATATTACATCACGTAGATTTACACATGTATACCCATATATTGCATCTAATGAATATATATTTTTATGTCGCTACTTATGTAACGAATTTTGTGAGTAAATTTGCGTATTGAATACTATTAAGATTTCGAATAATAAATTACATTCACTAATATACTTACGACCAGAATTCGTAAGCCGTGGACATTATTTTTAAATCACATTTAAATGACCTTTTCACATAACAGTCTCTAGCCCAAAATAGACTTTCTCTGGAATTCTTTTTCAAAATTTAATATTCATTGCATACGCTCTTTTTTCTTATTTCCAACCACGTCAGACCTTTTTTGCCGAAACTCGAGGCAGACAATATATAAATATTATAAATTGATATATTGAAGATATATACATATTTTAGTGTTATGGATTTCAAATATACGATGGAATTCGCTCAATATCAATATAGATAACAATTTAATAATACATTTAATAAAAACGTAGTGTTTTATGTGTTATGTAGTTTATAAATTAAATAATTGTTTTTAATTATTACAATATTTAATATCTATTAACCTATTTTTTTAATATTTTTTTTATTTTTCATTAACCAGTAAAATATTTATATAAGGAATTTTTTATTACATTTTCAAGACTTTTTGTCAAACCAAAATAATTTTATCATGGTTTAATAAAAAAGAAAACGTTAAAAAAAAAAATCTTATAATATCTATAAAAACCCAAAATAAATCAAAATCTTTTAAAAATCATATCAGCTATATTGAAAATTAGTAAAAGCACTCGGTGATAATTTCAAATCAACAGTTTTTTTTTTTCATTTCTGATGAAAATATAAATTCGATCTTATCGATAACCGGTATACTGTAAAAGTTAATGTATTTTTTTTAGTTTTCGTTAGTTTTTGGCAATTATTAAAAAGTATTGAAAAAATCGAAATGTTACAAAATTTAAAATGAATTTTTTGTGCATTATCGAAAATTATTTCAAAACTGGTTTACGGCGATCAAATTATATATCTCGATTGACTAAACGACCTAATATCTATTACATCCTTCTTCGCTAATATACACGATTTCAACCCTCCTATTGCGGTGACTTATCTAAAGGATTATTTAATTTATATTAAAACCAAATATCCGTTAATTCCCTTTATATAGTTAATAATACACTATGTAATACTTAATATAACACTATATAGAATTTTAACTCTCAAAAGTTTGATTTCTGAACAAGAAAAATATTTAGAATTATTTAAATAAATAGAATTTTTATTTATTTCTTTATCCATGGGAAATGTAAAGTTCATCAAAATTCTGATAACATATTGATTTTTTTTTCTTATTAGTTTTTTATTTGAAATTAAAAACAAAACATATCTTACAGATCAAATTATGTAATAATTTACTTATTTGAAATGATCTCCAATCATGAAAGCTGTATTTGTGAACGATTGCTCAACGAATTATTATTCGTATACAACATGATAACAAGGGTTAAAATCCTCTAAACACTATCGGTCAATTCTCTAAAAAATGTATTTTCTATTTAAAATATAATAAATTTTGTTGAAATTGAAATTTAAAATGTATATAGAAATTTAGAGTATTGATTATTAAAAAAAAAATAATAATAAAAGAGATAATTGAATAACAACCAATAAATTATTTTATTAATTGTAAAAAAAAAATTTACATAACATAAATATTTAACTATTGCAAGTTTGAAAATGTAGTACCTATTTAAAAAAAAAAAGTAGAAAATATAAAAACATAAATTCATTATTCTGAAAGTTATTACTCAAAAACGACATACCTGTATTTATGAGCGTATTTAGGTATCTACGTGTTTGTCACTTTTGGTTCGCTTCAATTATAATCGACTTCTTCACTACCGACGTTTATAAATTAAACAAGTATAATGTCCCGGTACTCATGTATACCATAATAATTAAAGATTAATAAATTATTATTCTTTTTCTCTAATTTCTTCTTTTTTTTTTTTAATTTATTACGAATAAAAATTGTAAGAAAATAATTTAATAAAAATAAAAATATTTAATATACGTAAATATTACGAAGTAATACTACATACCATCAACAATAGTGTCGGAGCGGTGTACCGCAAAAAGAAAACATAAAATAAAATTTACATATAAATGGAAAATTGATCGATGAAATACAATAATCTGTTGTAGATTTAATAGTTTCTATGCACCCTCGCTTAAATTTTAGTTTCTAAACCATTTTTAGTTAAATATTTTTCTATAGAGAATACGAAAACATAAAAATATTAATACAACAATAGGTTTGTTATTTATAGCATGAACTATTTTTATATCACGTAAAAATACTATTTTCAAATAATATTCGATTGTCATAAAAGAAGTATGCTAATAATTTTTTTTAGTAAATTTAAAATCTAGGACCAGTTCTGAAACGTTTACCTATAAATATTCATAAATTATCTATTACATACATTACATGTACTATGTAACATAACAAAAAGTTTTGTAAGTATAAATTATTGACAAATATATTATAATATTATATACCAATTTAATAAATCAGTTGTATCTTTTAGTCAACGCATTTCATAACAGAATTGTAAGTATACAAGGCCAACAAATAATAATTAATTGTTTATTAAAAATACATTTTTCAATTTTTATAATGATATCGACTTAATCTAAAAAATAAAACACGATACGTTTGAGAACCACAACATGTGACGATTTTACTGATTAATTGAGCCGTGTTTAATTCAAATTCAAATAACATTAGTATTCCGTTGATTACATCGTAAAAATGTACAACATTGCAACCGAAATTACAGATTATTGAAAAACGAGAAATCAAACAACAAAAGGATTTGTTATCGTTTGTAAAATATTATTATTTCTATTACTCAAAGGATTTGTTATCGTTTGTAAAATATTATTATTTCTTTTACTCAAACATTTTTTATACGACAGCCGATCGGCGATAAAACCTCTCGTGCATAAATGTATTCCCTATACGTTAGATCTTAACTTTAATTTTCAGATTGTCATATTATACGCCATCTATTAACACATCGCATTGATATTTGACCGGTTTCATTGCTGTAGACTATTTATGTATACTTAATCAACGGTTTTACATAATATTAATCGGTAGCCAGAACTATTTCACCTTCACGATCACCATCATATTTTAATGTCACGACAACAGACGAAAATTATCGTCACGACACGTCGTTTTATCGCGATAGTATAGATCCCGTTCGTACTGGAATATTTACATTACACTCACATATTGTTGAACTAACATATTTCATTTTGCTATAGAAAATATTTTTAGATCACTATTGTGATAATTTGATGTACACTCTTTAAATATATAAAATATACACATCTTGACGTGTGGGTCGATCAATATTTACTCTCAGAACGTGTAAGAATCTACAGTTGATGGTACTTTTCGCTAACCAACACGTCGAATTCGACTATGATTTCATATTCGATGTCAATAGCAAAACTTTTATATTACATTAAGGTCGATTCTCGCGGACCGTTACGAATCATTTTTCGTTACATAATTGAAACCTACACACATATCATACACGCTTGCTGGCGTAAAGATTTTAACACGCGTCGAATTCGGAAACAAGTTTTTTCGATATGGACCGTTGGTATTTCTTCGCCAACTTCTCCAGATAATCGGCATGATCAACCAGTCGAAAATCACCAAAATCGCTCTAGAAAAATAAAGAATACACTCGACAAGTAATTATTTTTTAAAACACAATACACGTTGTTGAACGATTTTTGTTCCGCTTATACGCAAAATGAAAACATTGTATTTTACGAACAAATGATTTATTCTTTTCTTCTTTTTTATATTTTTATGAAAAAGAGAATTTATGTCATATGCCGAAGATAAAAAATATAATTTCTTAAAATCAATGTCCGTAATTTGTAAGTATACGTTACTGAAATGGAAATGTACCTTCGTCCAACATTAACAAAAATAGTCAACTAAACTAAGATTATCCGTTATCTTTTCAATTATTTTTTCACTGGATAGCATTAGTCTAGTCTACTGATCCGGTCTAGTCTTCGGCAAAATTTGGACTTTTTCTGATACTGGAAAGAGCCGTGCAATGTCAGTGTTATATTTCAGGAACGCATATGAACAAATGGACACAATTTTTTCGTGAAAATAAATTATCAGAACTGATACTCTTAACCATCGAACCCTGAGCGCATGTACTGTACATATTCTGTTTTAGATAGTGAAATTGTGTAAGTGCATTACTTTAGTTTTTTTTTTTTTTTACGATCGAGTTATTTCAAATGTTGTAGTTTTCCGGGAGACCCTGCGTGATTACATAATAGCGGTATACCGTACCCGATGTACGACTTCGCAAAACCGGCCTTGGTTGAACGCCTCCAACCACTGGCGTTTGCGAGCCGCGGCTAGGCAGGTGAAAAAGAACGCCTGGTAATCGACGGAGAACAGAACAGGCAGGCACATCCAGCGGCATATCTCGGACCATCTTAAACGACCCCAAAAGCAATCGGACGCCCAACCGGAACACAGTAGCCACCAAGAGACGCCAGACATCTGTAACAACGGTGATGGCGTCAAGAGAACAGAAAAAAAAAGATAAAATGATAATTCGACGACGACATTGACACACTGGCGGTGCGCATTAGTTACAGTTGCCGTGATTGTTGTTGCGAACAATGAACAATTATATTATTATAACATGTCTCGCTTACCTATAAACCGTAACATACGTGTATCCCCTAATATGGCTACAAGAACGAAATATATAAGTCAAAAGCGCATAACTTTAGCTGAAAAAAAAGTCATTAAAAGGTTAAACGTTCCATTGTTTCATTTGACCTCCGCGCGACGTACACTCTAAAAGATGTATTTATTTATTTATTATTATTTTTTTTTCATAACTTCACATATCTGCGCAATGATTTCGCGAGAAAAAAGAATCACTAATTAAGTTCGTACGAAACGTAAAATATACACATCGAGCCGAATGAACCTTTGTACTATAATTATAATTTGCATTACACCTACGCAGAAACACACGTCAAGTGTAACAACATATAATATTATAATAATGCAAAGAGCTTGAATTTTTAATTATAAGTCACTTCGGATCTCGTGGATCGCTTTTGATAATATGTTACAGCGATTCAAAACATCAGTATATTAGTTGCGAGATTTATACGATTACAAACACTATACGGCGGCGATGTACTATGTGTCTAAAACAACTACTACTACGTAAAACTAATTATACGTTTGTGTAAATACACGCAAGATTAGTAGAACGTAATAGGAATGCATACTTTATAATGCAATCAATCGATCCAACTGCTTAACTTGAAAAGTAAGTATATAGTACTAAAAATGAATAAGACATTTATAAAAATTGAAACGTGCCGGAAAAATAAACTAAATATAATTCAAATACCACTCACTCACTCATTCACTCACTGATACATCCCAAAACCGACAAAACGTATGAACACAAAATTTGACAAAATTATTGCTCTAGTTGTGCAATAATAATTTTTGAAAGTCGAATTTTTAACGGTCGAGACGGTTTTGGACTAGATGCATACATTTTTCACTTTTCGGTTACCTAAGAAATGTTGAATTCTGTTTAATACGTTAACTTCAATAACTATCGAGTAATATATATAAATGTAAATTAATATAAAATATAAATAAAAATAAATATCATCAGAACATATGACAATTTTGACCTTTTTTGTGACTAAATATATATATTTTTTTTTAATCGAATTAATGTTCGATCCAATATAAAATAATAAAATTTCGAGTCCTTCAGAGTAATTCAGCTGGTAATTCATAAATATTTCATATGATATACTCAAAAAATGTTAACTATAATAATATTTTATTTTACATTACACAATGAGCTAATTTTAATGTTATTATATAATAATATTAATAATATAAAAGTATATTATTGCTAATATTAAGCATTATTGACGTGAATCAATAAACTACAACATAAATGTTGGCTATTACCATTATCCCCGCACGAATTCAAAGACAATCGAAATTAAATTTGTTTATTTTCGTTGTAGCAACACTAAGCTAAAGTTTGATAAAGGTTGATTACGTAACTCTTCAATGAAGTTGGATAACTACTAACTATTCTGCAACTAAATTACCCGGCAAAGTTCTATATTGTACCCCTTGATTAATAATTTCTCAAAATCAACTATGCGGATATTTAGGAAAACATTCGCGTGTATTGTCAATTGTTTTATCGATACTAAAATAAAATCTAAAATGACCTGAAGGAAAAATTCACGTTTATAGATCTATAGGAGAGGCTACGAAGTTTACCTTGTATTTTTCATAACAACCGTGTAAATATAATGATTATGCTTATCGAGGATAACGTTCCACTTTTACTCTGCGGTGTGTTTATGGTTTATGTATTGTGGTATAAAGTTTATACTTTAGTAACCTTTAGACAATAAATTAACATTAATAACATACGGATTTTTTCTACGTACTTCGTCGATAATTATTTTACTTTTATTATATTACAATAATTAATCATAATATCATCTTTCACAAAATATTTTTTAAATTACGATTATTAATATCGACGAACACGCATTCGCCTACGCTGAATAACTAACCTATATGATTCGGTTGTACCTATCGGGCATACCTACGCATGTAGTTAAATTTTATTGAGTTACAGAAGGTACCTTACTGATGACATAATAAATATTTCCAATAAATTATTCCTAGAGGTTTTGACGTCTCTAAGCGAATTTACTAAACAGTAGTGTGGGATATAAGTATAAATAATTACTAATTGAACATGTGTTGTCGATGTTTTAAAGCTTATTCTGCCCAAAGGCGATTTGAATTTTAACTAATGTGTTGTTATTATTTATAATGGTACTTCACGTATTACATCAAAATATGATGCGTGTCCGAGAGGATTATTTTCGTTGGTGATCTTCAAATTGGTTTTTTATTATTACTGATGAAATTCGTTACCATTGAAATAATAATAGTGACCAAAATAAAAGGAAGAAAACCACTTATAATCGAAAGTCGTCAAATGCAACGCTCGAGTTTTAGTTAGTATCGTCATAAAATTATGATCGACGTGTCGATATTATTGTAAAACCGAGACACCCGGTCGGCAAATGTTATTTTCCGACGTCTTTCGAGCAATATCCAATGAAAACAAACATATATTGGCTATTATTATAGACGCTGCTAGTTCTTAGTCGTTTTGTACGATACAAATTTAAAGGGATTCATCGTTTCTGTTTCTACAAGATCGGCCCTCATCCGAAAATTGTCAATAAAACGAATGCGAGAGTAGCTTATACACCGACTTAGTTTGTATGGGCTGAAATAGAGCTATATCACGCTTAATCGGTGGGCGAAACATAGCAGTTGGCCATTTTGGCACTATTGTATCTAATTACGCATGTCATATCCGTACACAGAGTTTCATAATGAAGGAAGTTTTGAAAAAAATATATGGATAAAATAGTTACATCAATAATAAGTAAATATATATCCATAGAAACATAACAACCTCCCCCCCCCCCCAGAAAAATAAAAAGTTCAAAATTCATAAATTACTTCCTTGAAAGGTACAGAAGAAGAGAATATTAATTTATATCATGTGGTTGTAAATAATTCTTCATTTGTATTTATGGATCTTCTTCTTCTCCTTCGTCTTTCTCTTTATTTGTATTTATAATAATATTTGAAAAATAATAATAAAAATAATAAGTTATTAATTCATACCTTATATGTATTTTTTATAATATTATAAAATCACATTTTTTTAGAAAAATTATAAACCTCCCCCTCTCCCACCCACTCACAAAATATTTGAAAATACATCACTAGAAATGTTAGTCCGAATGATTATGTTTACCTGGAATCTCGATTTTTTTCTCAGATAGCTTCAATTATTTACGATTTTACTCGTATTTTTTTAGTCGATTATATTTGTTATATTATCATAATAAATTACTGTACGAAAATTTAAAACATTTTGTTTTATTTTTACTATTGCAAAACATAATTTATTTTTACCAAAAATTTTAAAATAAATTACATTTATCTTGAAGAACATCACTTAAAATACGGATCCCTTACTCTCAGACTTAAATTGTAGAGCTCAATTTACAACATTTCGGGAAGTGCTAGAGTATACCCGGCACATCCAGTGACACACCCATGGTGGTGTACTATTATATTAAGCATTATTACAAATAAGACTGTAAAATATTTAATATAATCAATCAAAAATGAGAAATACAAAATTAAACCCCAAACCTTCTCCCTCATTTGCATATAATCCTAAGTGAACGTATAAGCATTTATAAAAGGGGACAGGGATCGATTTTTCGAGACAGTTTTGAATAATAAACGATCATGTCATATCATGTCATGTCAAACGGTTGTATTATATAAATCTATCCGGTGTATCAGTGGCGCCAAACTGCTTTTCATTAAATGGCCCAAACACACATATTAACTACCCACCCTCTCCTTCCTAAACACCCTCAAAAATATTATTTCCATTTAGATCTTAAGTCAAAATATCTATGCTATTTGTTTTTACAATTGCTTGACCATAAATGATCAAAGTCTTATTATGTGCATATTAAGTAGGGACCTACTAGATACTACCAACTGGCCATCAAGTGCCGGTCTTTCAAAATTATATAGACCCAGTACCAACCCCTCGATTTTAGATGGTACAAGTGCGCCACATTAAGTACGTATTGGGTGCCACTGTGGTACATATATATCACATCTTTACACGTTGCAAGTATACCTACGGTTTATAGTAAAATACATAAAAAGTATACCATCATATAACGATTTTGTTATAATATCATCGTGACTTTCATAAGTCTTCTATGGAGGAGGGCCAAAAAAAAAAAAAGGCTTCTAGGACCGCGGGTTGAACCCTGATCTAAAGCACCGTGCGTCGTGCATTTACCGGCATATATATTGCACGTCACAACGTATTCGTCAGACCCAAATTTAACTAATAGTTATTGATCTAACCTTAAACGCGTTGTGCACTTCCGGTTGTTCTTGTTGCAATAAACCTTCGACCAGATGGCCGAAAGCGGCTGTTCTATCGGCGTCGTGGCCGTCAAAGGCCGGCGGCCAAACGAAACGCGTCGTTTCGCCGAGTTTGAGGAGAACAGCGCACGCCTCGATGCACCTAAACACGTTCGGTATATTCGGCTTAAAAAACGAGGAAAAAACTAAACGAATTGTGCACGTATACGATTCTGTGTGCGCGTGCGTGTGCACGCGCTAGCGTGTATGTGTCACAAACTTGTTTTCGGATCCTTGGGACGCCATAAACAATGTGCACGTCATGCAATCGAATAACCCCGACCGTTGCAGTCTTTCGACACCGCCGTAGAGACGTTCGAGTTCGGACGCCGAATCTTCCGCCACGATCCCGACGCTCGATCCGTACCTGCGCGGTCAAACACACCGGTGTAATATTTTAATGTTATTGTGATGCCGATAACGTGATGATAATCACGCGTTGCGCAATCGCGTTCGTTTTGTAATCACCTCAGCGCTAATCGTATCCCGGTGGCTTCGAACTCGGTTAGGTCCGTCGATCTACGATCGAACGTGCTCAGATCGAGCTGGCCTTCGAAACGGCGGCGACCGAAGGACACTATCAAATCCACCATCTCCGGTCCCTAAAAGACGATCACGTGTAGAGTTAAGCGACTGCCGGCCGTACACGGTGCGATCCGAAAGACAGAGCGCGTTCGCTCCGGTCAAATCGACAAACGTTAGCGGTTTTCTACGCGACTCACGGATATCCGATCGCAACGGATCACGGTGGCGCGGGCCTTCGGCAGCCATACGTCGCTGCGGCAGTCGGTGGCGGCCAAAAACTCGGACAGACCGTTGCGATCCGACGCGGTCCCGCGATCACCGCAAGCCGAAGGTGGAGGGCTTCGCAGCCGCGTCAGCAATTCGGTCGTTTCGTCCACGATGATCACGTCCACGTCTTCCGCGCGGTTCTCGTCGTACAACTTCGTCAGCGTGTCCTGTTGGCGATGAAATCACAACAAACGGGGTAAAAAAAACGTTGACCAGATACCGCGTGATGACGGCGGAAAACGTAAAACGATGTTATGCATCTGACAGTACACCTTCCCGCGAACCGTTCGTGTACGACAGTTTTTCGTTGTTGCGCAACCGCGCGTACAACATAATATCGACTTTCTATTCGGACGATAATGCGCGTGATGCGCGTGCACACAATCGCGATGCGTTATTAAACGGCTGGAGGGAAAAGAAGATGATCATTATTATGATTACCGATCGCGGGACCGAACGCTATTACCATAAACGAACCACCGGTCCGTCGAACCGTCGTTCGTACGACATACGACTGTACGCGTGCACGTGTTACGTCTACAGATTATACCGTACCTATGCGCTACGGTTTTCAAATGTTTTAACGTCCGACGGTACGCCATTAAAATAAATAATTACACGCCCCTTACTTGGTACTTCAGTTTCAAATCCGCGTAGACGCGTAAACTGAACGTGTGCGTTGCGGTCTCTATTAATCGCAGCCACAGCATGACGAGTACGTCTCTGGCGATCGAATGACCGTCGAAATGTTTGTGCGAAATATAGTAAAGTTCGGTCAATTTCACTTTTTCGGTTTCAGTACCAACGCCGTCGTCGAGTAACATTTGCAGTCCTGTAACAAAATAAATCTTTTTTTTTCCAACGAACAATAACAACGATTTCGACTCTATGGAATGAGCAACAGAAACCTATTAATAGTGACATGACCGTTGTTAGTAAAAATAATCGTACGTACATTTTTTTTTTTTTTTTTTTTTTATTTGTGTACGTAACATCTGAAACCTATAACGCAATATTGAAAAATTACTTTTGGTTTTGAATAATCCGAAAATAGACTTTTCTGAAAATGTTCATAAATTTTAGTTTTATGAACTTTGAGTTTTTTTTTCTTTTACGGTAATTGTTATGCGGAAATTTATAGAAAAACACTACATGTTCGATAACACAATGCATATTAAATTAAACAAGGTTTTCTGCAATTAAAAAAATTATCAGGTTTTTGAAATTAAAAAATTGAATCATTGGCATTTTCAGAAAAACCCATTTTATGGAACGGATGTTTTTTTAAAAACAAACTTGTTTCAATCAACCATATTTAATTTTGAAAATTAATAAACATTAAGGCTTAACTCACACGGATTACATTACAACCACAACACGACAGCCTAATGGTGGTCGCTCGTGGTCTATAAATTTAAAACACAAAAAATGATACGATAAACGAACACACTTTCTGCCGTCACAACTTGTCGAGCACAAAACTGTGATTGTCTATGGTCGATATCAACCACTTATGTACCACTTTTTTCTCATCGTTAGAAGTCCGTACCGACGATGATAAAATAAAAATAATAAAAATAAATAAATGGAATGTACGTAATATTTGTAGTTGAGACGTGGTTCTATCGTAGCGTGGTTCTAATTGTGGTCCGCGTGAGTTAAGCCTAAGCGAAAACTAGCAGTGCAAGTTATATAAAAAAAAAAAAAAAACTAAATTTTATTTTGATGCATGATAATAACGGATTGCAATTATAGAATCATCTAATAATTATGTGTATACATTATACTCAGTAAAAGATACTTTTTACAAATATTCAAATACAGTTTCCTGTTTTCAAGAGTATTTCAAATACGTATTTTATTCGATAAAAAAAGTATGAAATACAAAGAACTAAAGTACAATACAGATACTTCAAAAAAATATTCATAGATTCTTTCAAATACTTAAAAATTTCGTAAAATGGCTTACCGTACATACATAAAAAAAAATGTAAAAGAATTTTAAAACTATATTCATGTCTTAAATGGTTGCAATGAATAAGATAATTCACAAAGGCTATTAAACAAAATTAAAATGGAAATAAAATGAACTGCAGTACATTATAGCCATAATAGCGCATGATGTTGTAGATTGTTAAAAAGGGTCTGGGGTTTTAGTATTTGAAATGGAATTGTCTGAAATCAGTCTGTACGGCCAATTAGTATAAGCCAATTATAAATAATGATTTTATACATCGTATTGATATAAAACAATTGTATAGTAGGTAAATAAATGTATTCGTTTGATGTGATAGAATCCTAATTAAAAATTTGCAAAAAAAAGTATTTGAAAATAGTATTTGATTTTAAATACACTTACTCCGGGAAAGTGTTTAAAATACTACGTCCAAGTATTTTTATTCAAAACTGTTAAAAATACTTATTTGAATAAGGTGAGAAGTGTTCGAATCTTTCTCCCGAGTACTGTACAAAACTTGTTACACGGTACCTTCGAACGAGCCGCAGAACGAATACGCCATGTCGACGATGGAATCGAGAGATTTGCAAACGTCCAGTTCCTCTAAGGCGGTTTCCGCGCGGTCCAAATGGTCTTGCAGGAAATCGTTGAGCGAGCAAAGGGCTCCGGTCCGGTCGAGCCAGTGCCTGCCCGGTTCGGTTGCGCAAGCCACGGTCAACATCAGCTTTTGCCGCGGATCGGACCAGTCGATGCGATCGTCGTCTTCGTCGTCATCGTCCAGCGTTCCTCCGTGTTCTTCCAGATGGTAGGTGATAGCGGCCAGGGGCGTGCAACGCACGTTGACCATCAGCGACCGACACGGGTGTCGGCCTGCGACCGCGGCCTCCAAGAACGCCATCCTCCTGGTGACCAGCTGCCACACGTGTTCGTGTCGAGCGCTGAGCGCGGCCGCGACTCTTACCAGCGACTCCATGCCGCCGTCGTCGTCCCGCCGCCGCCTGCGCTTCCTGAACAGCTCGTCCACCAGACGCTCGCGGCCGGCCAGGTAGTCGAGCGCGACCGCGTGCCGCCGCACTGAGTCGGCCAGTATGCGCAACCGGTGCGCGCATTGCGCGTGGCCGTCGTCCGCCACGGCGTCAATCACTTCCGGGCGGAACGCGATCACCGCGCACACCAGGT